ATACCACTGACCACACAAAATACAATATTATAGGTTTGGGGTCCGTTTTCTTTTTTTTTTTTTTTTTTAACTTTGCCATACACCTTTGGTGAAAAGAAATCATTAATATACACAAAATCAAGTTTCTCAGAGCCAAATTCCAAGATTTTTAATCCACGATCATATTTTAGTTATGTATCTTAACTATGAGACAGTATCTCAAGCTTTTCTTTCTTAACTATGAGTAAGTTTTGTGTATCTTGATTAGGTCAGTTTTATTTTTTCTGTACTTTAACTGAGCATTTTTAATTTTAGTCCTCTTAGGATCATTGTCAAAGAAATAGGTTTTAATTTTTGTGTACCTTAAGTATAAGAGTCAGTATCTTAATTTGTTTTACAACTTGCCTACAAGACAGTATCTTAATTTTTATGTCTTATACCTTAACCACCAAATGGTACTTCTTGAATATCATTAGAATGTCATGTAAATAAGTGTAGCATCACATCCAAAACTCCTTTATTATACCTGGGACATTATATCATTTTCATTAAAACTACTTGACCTTTGGAAACAAACAACAAAGAAATCAACATACCAGCCCTATTTTTCTTTCCAGACTTTACATTTCATTATTTTTAACAAATTCCTGTCATAAGAACATCTAAATCATGCAGTAAGTCCATCAAGCAAACAAAAAATGAAAATGACAACCCTTTCTTTTCAACCACCTTTGGTTATACAAACAGTGCAATTAATAAAACATATTTAAAAACACTGTTACACTTGCATCTTTTTAAATATATTAATTTTAATATTCCTTAATCATGAAAAAGTCTGAAATTTTGATTCAGAATGTCTCAGAATTTTCAAACACATTTTATATAACACACTTCAATAAAATATTTTTGCAGTTTTAATAAACCTGGAACAATTTATTTATGTAATAATTTATTAACTTGAGAACTACCTGCTTTTAGCTTTATGTTCTGGAGAATTTTTTAGTTTACCTTGTCTTATGGCATTTAAAAAAGTTTGAGAAAAATTATATTACTAACCACCAGTACATAAAAAAGTTAAAAATAACTTCATTTTCACCTATACCAAAATTCAAACAAAAAAGTGCAAAACACATTATTCCTTAACAGTTTTTAATATACAGCTCACTGATCCAAGTTTAAAAATCTCACTTGTATAACTCAACACCTGTGTTAATAACATCAAAGTACATAAACAAAGAAAAAGATACAACTAGAAGAATTTACTTGTTGAATAAAAAAAAAATAATGGAGAGAAAAATAGAAATTTTATATACTTCTCTTCAAGCAGTAACACACCAAATGTATTTTTAATACTTTTTCTGAAAACACTCAATAAAGAAATAAGTATGCATAATAACATCTGTTATAGAAATAGAAACTCACTGGACACAAACACATTCCTACATTCTGTGTTCTAAACTATATTTATAGAGAAATCTACTTTGTTTACAAAATACTATATTCAACTTAATATACAAACTCAACATTAACAGGTTCTTAAAAGTCCCACCAGATTGACTTATGGTATGTGCAGGGGAAGTAACAAGTAAATTATTTTCTATTACCTGAATTTTCCCATTATTTGATTAAAACATGATAAAATTAACCTGATGGACTAAAAGAACAGATTGAACATTTATATAACAAACCACTTTATTCTTTAAATTAAGATATATTCAGGTTCTTCCTTTACAAAGTATTGTAGCTAGTAATTTATAATTTACTCCCAGAAACACCTACATTGTCAGTTAAACGTTAAATTTGATGACTTGATGGAAACTTTACAAAAATTATATGTTACTAGCTGACACACCCATTCAATGCACAGGGAAGACCTATGGGTACATGCCAAGTAAGGTAACAGTTGGTCAAGCAGTTTGCAAGTTATAAGTGGGCACACACACACTTTTCTTAAATAGTGTTCAGATTACAAATGAAGAACTCAATATTTTAAACACAAGTGTTTCCTACTTTCATACAGTAATTTTGGTGACACTTTTAAAACACTGCTTACATAAAACAACCTGCAAGTTTATTTTTCTGCTGATTAAAAAGAATATAAAAACCTCATGGGTTAATTAAATATCTTATTCAATTACACAAATTTAAATGATATTCTAATAGCAATATTATCAAAGACTTGTTATTTAGTTAAAAAACATACAATTGTTGTTTGTACTGTGGAGTAATTAAATAGACCTTGAATTTTTAAGTTTGATTAATCATAAAATTGTATAAACAAACACAAACACCCGAAAGGTTCATTATAACCTAACGAGACTTTACATTTAATGACAAAATTATTCTAAGTTGACCAGTACTGTGCACCAATAACTGCTGGTTATGAACAAAATCACTATGGCAAACAGATTTGTTTTTTAATACTATACTAACAAGACAGACAATATATACGTCCTAAATAAGATACAGAACATTTAAACCAAAATTTAAACATCACAAATTTATTCACCACTGAAAACCCAAAACATGTACTTTTTTCATGAATTTGGCGGAAAGTTTTCAGACTAAAAATTGTTACATCTTACCCCAAAATTAACTTCAAAAACATGCTTAAAATGTAAAATGGTCTCAAAAACTTTAAGTTATTTCAAATGCACAAAAAGTAGTCATTTCAAAAGAAGTGAAACAAAGCAACTAATTTTTTTTTGGATAATTTATTCCACACAATAATGAAACTTTGCAAGTCATCAAATGTGGAATCAACAAATCTTATAACTGTATGATAATATAGTTTAAGTGGTTTGTAAACACCAACATTATTTTCTGTTTGAAAACACTTCAAATGGCAAGATTAACATCCTTTATTCTGCTTCAAAATTTATAAATTCACACTTACCCTCAACTTGAATATAAAACATCATCAAAAGATTTACTACAAAAACAAAGTTCATTGCACAAGATCAGTTTTTGACTAGGGGTAAAAAGGCAAAAAGAAGTAACTAGGTAATACTTTTCAAATACTAAATCTGTGGTACATACTTAGCCAAAATATTAAACACTGAATATACTCTACTATGCCAATGTATGTTAGGCTAAGTGTAAGAGTCAAGAAGATATGAGGAATGTATGCCTGAAAACAACAACACAGAAAAGAAACTTCTATATGAATTGAAATTCTGATTAATTCCTCTCTCTCTCTTCCAATTATTTGGGAATTCTAAACAACATGCTCTGTACTCTGTTTAACAATTTCATGATAAATTTCAAATATTTCATATGGAATGGAAAATGGCTAACACTTAAAAAAAATCTACTTCTGACACACACACACACACACACACCATCATAAAAAGGTAGCAGTAGTACAGTTTAAATCATTGTAACAAAAGATGTTTATAAACACTAGAGTCAGTTACAACAGAAACCTCTAACAGATACCTTTCTACATACAATACAGTAACAATATAACAGAAATTTGTTAAAAAGATTCCCTTTTCCAAACAGTACAGCCCTGTTATATTAAAGTAGTTATAAAGGCTTCTTGTACATACAATACAGCCAGCAGAGTAAACATTTTCAAACACAAAAAAAAATACTTAATCAATTTGTCATCACAATTTATTTAACAAAGCTTTGTGTCATTACAAGTGGACTCTGGTATAGACTTTAGCCCTGACAGGTGGTCAGTCTGACATACTTTTTTCTCTGGTCAGCAGTTTTAGTTGAGTCCTTGAAACACCCCATAAACTAGCCATTTCCATTCCAAACTAATGCCTCAAATCGTCTTCCTGGATGGATGTTAAATAATTCTTCAGTAGTTGTACTTCAGCCTAAGAACAAAAAAGCATCAGAATTAAATATTTTCTAATTTAAGTGTAAGTGCAGTATCATTCACACACAAAATGGTATGCTGCCATAAAATAACACACAGCTTGAAACAAAAAGCATCAGAATTAAATATTTTCTAATTTAAGTGTAAGTGCAGTATCATTCACACACAAAATGGTATGTTGCTATAAAATAACACACAGCTTGAAACACCATTCATTGTTATGGTATGTAATTACAGCAGTGAGTACATGACATGAAGCTAGTTCTACTGCAAAAAGTTAAAACACTAGCTACAAAAAATAAACTGTGATTCTACTGATAAACAGTTGAAGTACTGATCACAAGAAATAGAATCTGGTTCTATTGATTGATAGGTAGAGCAAGAGAGAAGCTGGCATTTCCAACATGCATTTGAAATGTATTCAAAGTGCAATTTCCTTTAACTGATGCAGTTAAAATAGTAAATTGCAACAGACAAAATCTGATTGTCACTTTACAGTTATAACACACAATATCAAAGAAAATCTGTTTCTATCCATTTACCATTAAAGTATAAATTACAACATAGATAATCTGGTCTTATAGTTTGCAGTTAAATTACACATTACACCAGACAAAACCAGCACTGGTAGTAAATAAATACTGGTAAAAATTTATAACTTGAGCATGCAAAAAGTCTCTGTGCTGCAGCTCCTTGATAAAAGTACTTAACCAAAATGTCAAGTAATAAAATTTTATTTTATCTAAAGTTTAATGCTTTATACTTTTTTTTTTTATGAGATGTAAATAGAATGTAAAACCATGTTCTTCATTTAGTGTAGGCACAGTTAAAAACTCAACTTTTAATTTTCAAGAACTTTTTAACTTATTAAATTAAATGTGATCCTTTATTTGTGATAAACACTTCCATCTATATTCAAGTTCATGTTTGTAAAAAATAATCATTCAACCTTTGCATGTTTCACTTCAAGCTCTGCTAATTCAACCAAGTTTTTCTTAAAGGCAGCTACACGTCGAGTTCTAAAATCCTGCAGCTCTGAAAATCAAAAAGATATATATTTACCATATGTTTTTAATTCTAGCAATAACTTAAGGTGTTTTGTTCCTATATATAAACATAATGTTTTCTCTACAATAAAAATCTAGCTTTGAATCTTTTTTTTTTTTTGTTTCATTTTACCAATTCCTCCAGGATTAAAATGCACAGGGTGTAAAACAGGCCTCTCATATTATTTATTCAAGTAACCCTGTAGCAATAACACTGTTAATAATGTTTCCCAATAACATTCAGTTCTTGATTTTCATGGGATATGTTTTCTAGGATATTTCTTTCAGTCTGATTACAATTACCAATTCAATATTCTTTAAAAAATAATTTTACTAATCTTTTGTTTTAATCTTTTCAACAAATTATATATGTTTTGTTATGATGAGGTATTTTTGTAGTCTATAGCTGATATATAATATATATATTATACATAACTATCCTTATCACAGGTTTTGAATTAAAGGAAGACTAAAACAATGCTCAAATTCAAAAGAACTACCAGTTTATTTTCTTAGAGCAATTTTAAAGTTATATTGTATTAGGATTATGTTATTTTTCTTTATCATAAATGAAAGTTTTAAACATAATCTAGAAAACTCAATTCTACTGAAACACCATCATAGAAGTTACTAACTACAATAAAAAAAATAATTGTTGAATTTAGACAATAGTTGTTCATTGCTGTTCCAACAGGTATATTAACACTGAAAAAGTTCTAAAAAAATAATAGAGAATACTAAATGAACTACAAGAATGGAGTTAAAACTAACTCTGAGGAGGCTTGTCATTAAAATATAATTGCAAACACGAAGTAACTCAAAACCTTTACATCAAAGAGCACTACATTAAATACAGAAAAGTCTGAAGAAAGCTTCAAGTCAAATACCCAGATGTTTTGTTTGCCATTCATACTTCCCATGTTTAGTTGAACAGATACAGGTTAGTTTTAAAGTGCTTAATGACTAAGCTAATGAATAATACCTCTACATGTGATATTACATCATAATAATATTTATCAGCATTATTAATTACTATGATATTTCATACTTTTCATAAGCATTAACACAAAGAGACATCTTTCCTACACTAACATCCAAATTGTAACATACATTCTAGTACTTGGAAAAAGACATTGTTAGCAGAAAAACAAAGTGTCTTTGAAATGCTATTACATACTTTTCTTACTGGAAACCCATCATGGGCTCATAAAGAGGTGTGGTTAAAATCACTAACTTATCGTAATGTAATATTACATCTACATAATAATTTTCATATTTGTTTAAGTTTGTATTTTTCTTTGTGTAAGTTTAACTGAAGAATATTTTTCAACATCACACAAGCTAGCACTGTTAGTCACTTTTCTCGTTTTACTTTTTACTGCGTTTGGATAAAATTAGAAAATCTTGTTTTTTTCCTTAGAGTTAGTTCCCAAAAGTAAGAAAAATAAAATTAATTGATATTTTTAACCCACTCAATAAAGCACTTAAATCAAGATTACTTGAACATAAAAAATTTTGATGAAAACATTCAATAAAGATACATGCTTATTTAAAACCTCAAACACCTTTCAATTAATGACTAATTTTCATGCACAAAATATATTCAGGTACAAAGGACTCAGTTTGAATGTTCTGCACTTCACAAACAAAGTCATTGGCACCAAATAAATATTTTCAACCTTCATACTCAAGGTATTTTATGACACTCATTCATTAACAAAAAAATAAACTCCTCCACCAACATGCCAACTGCAAGTAACCAATAAAAGCCAGCCATAATATTACCTTGCTTAGCTAACTTTGATATGTTTTCAAACTTCTCACATGCTTCCTGTTGTTGGTTCTCTGCCTAAACTCAAGCACAAAAAAATAACAAGTACCACTGTATATCTCCAGAAAAGAAAAAAATATATTAGTCTAAAATTACCAATGGTAGAAATTATACGGAAGTGACATTTTCACATAAATTAAGACACAATAAACTACATCAAATTTCACAAGAAAATTTCAATTTATTTTGCCAATAAAGGAAAAAAAAAAGTGATATATAAATTCTTGATAAATTTCAAAAACTTAAAAATATCTAATAAATACATCTTCTAAGTTAGGATTCTGATATTCAATTATTAGAAAGTTTTATTTATAATGTTGTTTTTCCAGCTGAAAACAGTATCATTCTTATTCATACTTGCCTCTTGTACATCCTTATTTTTGCTACGAGCTTTGTCTAGGATTCTATTGGCATTTTCATAATTTGCTAAACTTCTTAGTCTTCGATAAAGTAGGTTCTATAATGTAAAAACATTTTCCTGCAAAGTATATACTGACAACCATATATTTAATTGCACATAACTATCCTTATCAATGGTTTTGAAAGAAGTAAGTCCAAAGAACAGTTATCAAACTGTAAAAGATTATAGCAGATTACTTTGTTATACTTTGTTTCATATGTGAAGGTTCATATGCACTCATTTCTTCTAAAATGCAAAATTTCCAAACTATAAGAAACTAAATAAGTGTTTCTCAGATTCATATACATTTATCTTTCTTTCAGTTTATATAACTACTAAAATATTTCTAAAATGGAATACACCTGCAAGACAGACTTTACAACACTTCTGGATTTACTTCAAAAATCAGTTCTTTTGCAGTGTTTTGGAAGTGCTTTAAAAACATTTGTAACTTTCGATATGCATTAAATTTTGTACAAAAAGCTGAAAAAAATGTATATAACAATATTCATACAGCTGCATACTTTACAGGTTGGGTTACCTACTATAAACCAAGAAGCACCACCTTAGAGGAAAACATTCTGCTGCTTGAGAATATAAATCCCCAAATAGAACTTGTCTGTTTCAAAATCTTGCACAAAGCTGCAAAAAAACATTCCTAATTTTGAACCAATAGACCAGGAAGGTAGCTGCATCAACTGCAAACTCTTGGGCCATTCATGTCTAGTCAAACAGTGGGATTTGATAGTTACTCTTATAACATACCCAAAGCTCCAAGGTGCAGAGCACGGTTTTGGCAGCAATGGGCTGAAAACCATACTTCCTCAACTTCACAGTCTGGGCACAGTAATCACAAGCCACACTTGGCCTAAATAAAACTTATCTTATCTTATCTTATTGACAGTACACAGTATCGTTAAATCTTGTGTCTTCTTATTGAAAGTACACAGTATCGTTAAATCTTGTGTCTTTTTATTGACAGTACACAGTATCCTTAAATCTTGTGTCTTCTTTTTGACAGTACACAGTATCGTTAAATCTTGTTTTCTTACTGACAGTACACATTATCGTTGAATATTTTGTCTTTTTATTGACAGTACACAGTATCGTTAAATATTTTGTCTTTTTATTGACAGTACACAGTATCGTTAAATCTTGTGTCTTCTTATTGACAGTACACATTATTGTTAAATCTTGTGTTTTCTTACTGACAGGACACATTATCGTTAAATCTCGTGTCTTCTTATTGACAGGACACATTATCGTTAAATCTCGTGTCTTCTTATTGACAGGACACATTATCGTTAAATCTCGTGTCTTCTTATTGACAGTACACA